ACCAGGAGAAATGTATAGTGAATTACAGTAGGAAAAGGAAATCTATTTACATACATTAATCTATACAACATCATAGTCTGTACATTTTGTAAAAAAATGATCACATTCATTTACATCATCTTTAATTTTTACCATGCTTGACAGACAAAAAAATATTGATAAAGACAACAAAAGAGAATTTCCAAACAGTACTCCTACTAATGGGCCAGGGGAAAAAAAAAAAAAAAAAAAAGCTGTGGGTTATCATGAACTTATTACAGTGCTTTGGGAAATAAAGGCGGTTGGGACATTTCAGCCACTGTTTAGCTAACAATGGAAGCGTTACTGACTTGGGTTTAACTACATACTGTTACTACAGGGCAGAACAGAGTGGTTAAACCATATCACAGAATGTTCCTTTTAATGTTATCCTGATGTACTCTTGTAACATACATGTGAGAACACATTAGTATTATTATTTTAATATTGTTTCTTTCGTCAACAGAATAGCACTGCATACTAACTTCTGCTATTTGGTTATGTCAGGGTAGCACTGACAGCCCACAGCTTAGAGAGGCACTCATGGTAACGTGAAGGTACTTTAGTCAGCAAAAGTATTCCCTGTATCCCTGTGCACAGACAGTCATTGAGCAGACAATCACCCTTACGTACATAGCAGCTTTCTCTGCAGGTTACTTGCTGGTTTGTCCTTTTTATCACACATGTGTAATGTTTGATTTTCCATTAGACATGTCTGAAAAAATTCTGTATAAAGTGAATTTGGACTTTATTCACAAGTGCTTTGTTGAAATGGACAAATTCACAGTCAACAGATGTTTTTTAGAACTCACAAAAATAGTCTACTATTTGCAAATGACTCATCTTAGTCCTTAGGCATGGAGTATGAGATGTGCACTTGTCAATGCCTTATATCATACAGCCAACACAGACATTCAGGTTTGCTGAGGGTCTATGCCTGTTGCTTCCCCCTTCGTTATGTTAAAGGCAGAGGGAAGCCTGGCTGGGGTGCAACAGGACACGAAGTAGATGCGTGGGACAGGCTGCTTCCAGCTTGACCGTAGAAGGCTTTTTGTAATGATTTTTGACACCAATTACTTATTGCCACTACAGTACAGTTCCAACATATGCTTAAACTGGATAGTTCCTCAGCTGGCTACCTGGAGCACCTGCCCGGCACCGTGCTGTTCAGGTGCAATCCGTTGGGCTCTTGTACACTCCAGCACAGAGCGTGTGGCATACTTACTTAAATACATATCGGGTTCTTAAAATGCCATGGGTACCAGCAGTGTTTCCCATGGCTAAGAGTGTGCTCTCCATATTCCTAAGGTTATTTTGCAAAGCACATTAATGCACCTGATACGGACACTAAGGCCAACGTATTTTAAAAAGGTACTAGTTTACGTGGCAAAACCTCTGGCAGCAATAATCATAGAATCAGAGAATGGTTTCAGTCGGAAGGGACCTTAAAGATCATCCTTGCATGTCACCAGCCAGCCCCTGGTCAGTTAAAATGACTATGTAAAGTCAAAGATGCCAAAGGTATTACCAGGTGAGCCGCTGGTGGGCATGAGAAATGTGGTCAGTGGTGTGCGTACACCTGAAGGAGGAGACACTGAAATATTTCCTTTGCTTCTCTTGGCCAAAGCTATTATGAATAGAACAGGGAACAGAAGAGACTCAGGAAGATTATTTGAGAAAATGCCTCTCTGTTGGAATTTGCAGTATTTGACATGTTTAGTTTCTCAGCGGAAATCAAGACATGATTTAAAGAGTGATTCTCCAGAGACTTCACATAACGAAAACTTCTGATAGGCTAAAGCACTTTGTTTTAGCATATGACCCCTCTACAAAAGACAAAAAGCCGAACACCTAACCCAAAACGAGAAACAAGTGTTGAAAGCTGAAGCCAGGCAAATCAAAATGGAACACAAGTCTATTGGCTTTATCACGGTAGGCAGTCAACCACAGGGACACCCTACCAAATGAGCTGAGGGATCCTCCATGGCCTGAACTTCTCAATCATCCTGCACATTTTTTGGAGGATAACTTTGGCCAACACTAGTTACTTGGCTTAAAAAGGAGTATCTGGGTAGTTTTAGGCATATAACTGAATAGCCATTTCTGGAGAGATTGATCTTATCTGATTTTAAATGTAGAGTGAGAAATCTAACCTCACCTTCCCTGGGCTCATTTTATATTAAGTCTAGAGAAAAAGGTGATTCCGCTTACCTACCTTAGATCCCCAGCTGAACACGGGATCAATCATCTTCAGCTAGTGCCTATTTCTCTATGATGACTATGGAAGGCACTTTAAAAAATTCCTTAGCTCTGAGGCAGACATCCAGCTTTTTGATACCAAAACCAGGGCAGATGAATTTCACCTGAGTTTAACAAGCACCTCGCTGAAATTGACTCTGCCAAGGAAAATTTAAGTCAACATTCACTATATATTTAGATTTTCATCATGATTAACAACAGGAGATGACCCTATCACTGTGTCCCTCAGGCACCACCAGCAAGTAATGCTGATAAAAGTCCCTCCAGATGAATGGTGCTGTGCTGGCGGCCTGAAGGGAAGTAAACTACAAGTACCTGCAGTACGACAGGGAATTGTATTACCATTCTTGTTCAGTAACTTTACATGGTGTGCTACTGGCTTTTCAGGGGGGACAAAAAACCAGGATTCCTGCTTTGAAGACTTTACAATTCAGTTTGGATCCTGATGCAACCAAAGGGAGAGAGGCAGAAAAGGAATAAAGGGAAGAGCACTATGGGACAAGGCCATGCCAGGAAAGCATATGCTCGTTTTGCTGCCTCCACCTCCTCCCAGATGCTGACAGGACTGAGCAAGAACTAGGTTTAGGGATGGCAGTAGGCCAAAGGATGTTTTCTTGCATTGCCCTTTTGACTCATAGAGTCAACACAGCACAGAGCAGGAGCATTTAACTCCACAACCCTGTGCAAAATGCAATGAGAGACAAAGCCATGAGAAACTGTCTTGTTTCTGGGCATCGTAAAGATGCAAAACATGGATGAAGTACTACCTTTGTCAAACTGTTCTGCAGCTTTTACGTACATTTCAATATGATGTGTATCTGTGCGTAAAAAGGCAGCTGAAAGTCAAACAGGTGATGATGGGGTTGATGCTGTAACTTTGCATAAAATTCTTTGGAAATCAGTATTTCCTGGGAGTAAACCAAATGAGTACAGTGTCCTCTGGGCCTTTACTGACACGAAAATGCTTGCACAAAGCATTATGAAGTTAAATTCTTGAACAGAAAACATATTTTCTGGATTTTGATTTTATGATTTTAAACAGAAGGATGAGGTCCTACAAAGTACTGCAACTTTTCACCAGCTTGAAAGTTGCGAAGTACATGCAGCACCTCTCCCCTCTGTGCGCCATTCTTCCCGTGCCCACGTAGTCCATTACAAACTTAGTCACAGCATCTATATTCTTCCACTGGTGCAACTTCCCTGCCTCATATGGCATTACTCCCTACGTGAAAAACTGAGTCAAGTCCAAATGCATCTGCATCCTGTTAAAGGAAACTACGCAATTTAAAATGCATTTTCTTATTTAAGCTTTCCTGTTTTATAATCCAGAAATCATTATCATTGTAGTATACCTACAATGTAAAGTTGAGTGTCATGTCACATTCACACAGCTACCTGTTCTGCAGTGCTCATGTGAACCATGAGGCCTTTCCTATCTTCGGTCTGACATTGTATCGCTCCAGGGTAATCCCATTAATGTAAATTGTGTTTGGCTGATAAAAGGCTAAATTAAATCAAACCAAGACGTGTATAGATGCTTTGACAGCTGCAAACAATATTCCCAATACTGGTAATATTTTCAAGAACGTGCATGTATGCCTGCCAAGACATGCTCTTGCTTCTGTTCTTCCCTTTACCTGGCAATATTATGGACTTTGGATTCTGCCAGCTACATACAATCTGTTGTCTGAAACATCAGGGCAGTTGCTTTTATGGATCAGAGGTACTCATGCAAATACATATTACTTCCACTCGATATTTAGAGTGAACATGGTTAAATGTGACATGGGAAGTAAACATCATTGGGTTTATTTCTTTTAAAGAGTGCAAATGTTCTGTGTATATTTATATAAGAATCTGTCAGTTCCATGTCTTCTTTTTCCAAAAGGCTACATAAGAGGTTTGGCATTGTTGAGAACTCCTTCTATTTATGCCTTTTATGGCAATCTTTAGAGATTCTGTTGGTGTTTGTTTTTTTTTTTTCCTGGAGTCATGATCAGGGTTAAATTTTAAATCACCTCAGATAGATATAGAATAGAATTAAGCTAAAAGAATTCATATAATTCCTTAAGTGGGAGTTGTATCTTTATTGCAATATTCCTAGCTGCCAAGTAGTTCTAAAGACATATTTCAATGAAAATATTATACAAAAATTATATTTCCAATGAGTAATGCGCTGTCCAAAGCTGTTCATCCTATGCCAGACTGCACTAGCAATAAAGCACCTCTTCAGAAAATTGTTTGATAAAAGATCAGGACAAATGCCTGATTTTAAGCAGAAGAGAACAACTGGTGATTGCAATAGCACTATTGGAAAATGCTGATGTTTTGCTCAAAGCTATTACAATAGTCCTTTCTGCATGGACTGCAAGGTAGATCTACTTGCTGCACCTAAACATAAAAGCAGGCACTTTTAAATGAACAACTCTGTAGAAATTAATCTCTGAAATGTATACAGTTAGCTGAGAAATACTACCTTCTTTCTCTGTGTATAAATAATGTTAATGATTTCCTGGATTTGCACACTAAACTCCCAGTGTGGTTAATTATAATCTTACATGTCTTTATTTTTATTTTGTTTTCCATAATTAGGAAAGACTTTGCTAATCCTTAAGGAAAGAAATGTTTCCTTAAGAATAAATAAAGCGTAAAAAACTTTCTTGCTTCCCATCTTAACCTTTTCAGCATGTAGCAAAGCAGTCTGCACGAAACAGGATACCATCCATCTATCTTGTAGACACGCTGGAGGGTAAAGGGACAATTACAGTAAATGAGTTTTTGAATAGTTATGACTAGTAAACAGCAAGAGAACATCAGAACTAATATGGAAACCATTAAGAAAACCCCAAACCAGAAAGCATCCATGGGGCAGGTGTCTCTGTTATCAACTGGTTGGCTGCACAAACCAATTTCCCAAATACCAACACGTAGAAAAGCAAAGCACTAAACTGTACATTATAAAATGTATCACATCAAGCTGCATAATGAATGATCTATCCCACAGTTCTTCCTGTTGTGGGGACATAGATGATTTATATCATGGTGGTCTCTGTCTGCATAAATGACTGAGCCCTTGAATTCCGGTGGAGCTGAGAAACGCTTTCTGATCCATTTCGGGAAATTGAAGAGCTGTGGAGTCTGTAATCTCTGCCTGCTGTCTGCTTCCAGCACAAACTCCGCCATTTTCTTTTCAGCTCCCCTTGCACCTGTGTTGAAAAGAAAATGCCCAAGATGAGCAGAAAACGTTCTTTTACGTGAGGAACAATTTCATGTTTATTGGCTGGAACCTCTAGCAATAGAAACATAGAATCATTTGGGTTGACAGGGACTTTCAGAGATCATCCAATCCAACGCCCCTGCCACGGGCAGGGCCATCTTTCACTAGACCAGGTTGCTCCAAGCCTCATCCAGCCTGGCCTTGAACACTTCCTGTGATGGAGCATCCACAGCTTCTCTGGGCCACCTCTTCCAGTGTCTACCCCACCCTCATAGAAAAAATTTCTTCTTTACTTGCAATCTAAATTTACCCTCTTTCAGTTTAAAACTATTACCATTTGTCCTGTCACTACAGGCCCTTCTAAAAAGTGTTTCTGCATTTTCCTTATAATCCCCTCTTTTTATACTGAAAGGCCGCAACAAAGTCTCCCTGGAGCCTTCTCTTCTCCATGCTGAACAATCCCAACTCTCTCAGCCCCTGTCCATAGGAAAGGTGTTCCAGCCTTCTAGTAATTTCTGTGCCCCTCCTCTGGATTCACTCTAACAGGTCCGTGTAATTCTTGTACTGAGGACAATCAACTCTCTTGACCTGCTGGACGTACTTCTTTTGACGCAGAATACAACTGGCTTTCTCAGCTGCAACCACACACAGAATCAAAATCATAAAATCTTTCAGGTTGGAAAAGACCTTTAAGATCATCAAGTCCAACTGTTAACCTAAAACTGCTAATACCACCACCAAACTGTGTCCCTAAACACCTCATTCACACATCTCTCTGGGGATGGTGACACAACCATGTCCCTGGGCAGCCTGTTATTGGACACTGCTGGCTCATGTCCAGTTTTTCATCCCCAGTATCCCCAAGTCCTTCTGTGCCAGACTACATCCATTCATCCCCGTCTGTACTGACCGCCCCAACCCAGGTACAGGACCTTGCACGTGGCCTTGAACTTCATGAGGCTTGCAAGGACCCACTCTACAGGCCTGTCAAGGTCCCTCTGGATGGCAGCCCTTCCCTCTAGAGTATCAAATCAGTTTTTACAAAGACTACAAACCTGAGGCGAAGACTGTGACTACGCTGTCTGTGAGGAGATGCCCCAAGGCCACTTTCAAAATCATTTTTGTATTACTTGTGCTGCAACATTAGCTTTTGGTATCTAGCTATTCATCACACGTACTTAAAACATAGAATCAGATGATTAGTCCAAAATCGGGCATCTCATGTATAGCAAAGTCCAGAACAGCACTCAGGAGACTTGAATGTCAATTCCCTGCGCAAGCAGGTGTGTTCAGACAGATTCCTCCTGTCATATACTGCACGCTGTTTAATGTATATTCTACCATAAAAAGTGGCCGACATCAACAGGAATTCCTTACATCTTCCTCAGTTGAGATTAGGAAAGCTGCTACATGCTGAGCACTTCTGAAAACCTGCTGGTGCTCTGGGGGTTGGACTCTGTCAGAAGATCACCCCTAAATACTTACTAAATGATGTTTCAAGTTTTGGATAAATTTCTAGACTTGTTGTACCTCACTTGCACACTCCACATCGCTTGTAACAGAGCTAGAATTGGATCACATCAAATAACAGAAGGCACACTCACTAACACCTCGGTTTGCAAGGAACTAGACTTCAAACAGCTCTTAACTCTTCACCCAAATACACTGATTTCTCCTGTTGCATAGAAACCGCCACATATATATTCTAGAAATAGGAATGCAAACATCTAAACCAGCTTTATGTATCAAAGTGGAACTATAGGGGCACTTATACATCTACTGAAACCAGTGTTTAACATTCTTGGTAGGAAAGGTGAGACTTACTTCACTGTTCAAAAAACAATACAGGACTGCAACAATCAACCCCTGGAAAGAAACAATATTCCTTAATTAGCGAGCAGCACCAACCTGGGTCAATAAAACTGACTTTGAATAAAAACTTCAAAATTTACCTGAAAAGATCCCAAACACAACTCAAAGATTATTTTATAATTATTGGAACTGCGGTCAGGAAATAGAGCAAACACTGTGTAGTGAACTCCAAATAACGGAATAAGCAACAACGTGGATTTTGCAAGTCTCCTGGGTAAACAAAAGAGAAGAAGCTGGAGTTTAACGATAAGCTCTTGTTTTACAAAGATAAGAAAATGATGCAATGTCATTTGCATAAACCTCATATGACTTCAGATTTATACAGTCTTAGTAACAGTCATGTATTGCAAATTGTTTTCCTTTCAGGCTTGCAGGGAGATTAGCCACATAGTAACCTCATAAATGAACGTGTTCAGTTCCAGGTTACGGTTGATCCTGCTGACCTTGCACTCTTCCAAAAGATGGCAAAAGGCTGCAGGGCCTCTCTGAACCAAGAGACCCTTTTCCAGTCACCCTCTGGACAGCAGCAGTGTGTCGGACCTGCCCTCTGCTGTGTGTCTTTGGCACACGTTCGGTTCCCAGACTGGTTTCACCGCACAGGTTTTGGGGTGGGGTTTTACCACACTATTCCACAGGACCACAGTCGACAGCGTCACGAGCTGCCATCAGATCTCTCAAGGTATTTTTTACTTGGCATAAAGGGTTCAAGCTGGAAAGGCACAACACCTTCCTCCAAAGTCACACTGACCGATCTTCTGGTATAGAAGATAAAATTTCTCTCTCAAAATTAATTGATGTTAATTTCCTTTCCATGTGCAACGGTATGGTTAGTCTCTACGTTGCACATACACAGATTTCAAACAGTACCTAGGACGCGTAAACCAGAATAATCTCAACTGTGAGATTTTCATGGGCAATTTCAGATTTACCCCCCAACACTAAAATCTCATAACTGTACCGATGGTATTAAGCATATACTATTAACTGATTTTTAATGTTGTCAATTACATAATTCCTTTTATCACAGGACACCACTGAAGTTAAGGAAGAACTTTAAATTATTCAGCAGACCAGCTCTGTCAAACTGCCTGTGAAACCACTGAAAAGATGAATTGCTTATTATCCCTTATCTGTCACTTATTTCACTCTAATAGCATCAGTTTTATACATTATACAGGGCCAGTCATGCATGATTATGGATGTCTGGTATCAGATAAAATTCAAGAAGTTGTAAAGTTAAGTCCCATAATTCATCACTGTCTTGATGAATATAACTTGATTCAACAATGAAAGGATGCTGTTGTGAATTCACCTATTTAGCAGAAAAGTCAGGGTATTTCATGCAGTTTTATTTTTTCTGTGTCAGTCTTCATGGCCTTCCTTTGTTCATAATGTCCCAGAGGCTGCATCTGTCTACGTGGAAATAATCAGTTCTGACAGAGAAGTTTCTCAAGAATAGTAAAACCCTCACATCTAAAGGTGATACCAGCAAGCAGGACAAATAGGATTTCCTTAGCAGAAGAAATTAATTTACAACTGGAGGAGATGTGATGGCAGCAAATTTCCTGGTTTCCCAAGTGAAATGGGAAACTGATTTTACTTGAACTTAACTTTACCCACTGCAAATGTAAAATGAGCAGCAAAAAGGATGGAATCAGGTACAAGCAAGGGGAACAGACAATGGGAATAAAAATGGTGACTTGCACAAGTGGTATTAATTTTAGACTCATATTTCACTTTCACTCCATTTTTGGTTTAATAATTTTTGTCTAGCTGTTACTTTCTCTGTACTGCACTTACATTTTGGTGAAGGAAAGGGACAGACAAAATAGCCTTATTCTTCTCTGTATTTTAGGAAATGCTTTTGCATTTTGAAAAACGAGCCTTTCAGACCTTTCATCTGCTATGTAGATGCAGTATTCTTGTGGAGGTTAATCTACTGTTTCCATGAGTACTGGCTAAAGACCATCCAATCCAAACTTAATCAGGCAATCAAATGCTAAAAGCAAAGAATTCACAGGGCTGAACAATGAAGGACAAGGTCGGTATTCATGAACATGTTATGCTATGAAGCGCTACAGTGAACTGTGGGAAATAATGGGACTGATAGGAAGCGAATGCCTCGTTTTCATAAAATACATAAATACTACATGGAAACAAAGAAAGGTTCCTGCCACAAGAAGTAAACTTCAGGGGATTTCTTGCCGATAGGTTGTCCATTGTGCTGAATAATAATGTGGCAGCTACATAATTTCATCTAGGTTGATTTCGGTTCTCCTGTATGTTTAGTTAATTCAAGCAGCAAACACAAAGAAGGACCCTTGTAGCCCCATGCAGCAAAGCCGCCTTCACTTCTTGCAGCAAATGGGTCACGTTGTTTACAAAACACACAAGGCCCTAGTTCTCTTGGCTCTAAAGATACGGTTTACTGTAGCACACCATATTTTATCTGCTTTTAGCACAGGAATTCAGTATTTCTTAAACGAAGAAAAGGTGCTATCCAAGAGCAAATTTGCAAAGGGCACCTAAAACTTCAGTGTTCATGTCAGGTTTTGTCACTGAAATATCATATTAACACCCTGAAGTATCAAATTCAGTATCTATCTACGGGCTTTAAAATAAGACCTACTACAGCAGACACTTGATTCTGGATTACAGTATAGAGCAGCTATTCCAATAGCAACAGTAACTGACAAGGCAATAAAATAAAGAACAAATCCAATTTTAGCAATGTACTTAAGTTGCCCCCCAATATTACTTCATTCTAAAGACAATGGAAATTAGGATTTGATGTTCAATCTAAAATACAAAAGAAAGTCTAAACAAAAATGAAGTTGATCTACGTCAGAAACATTTGTTTTCCTCTAGAAAAATAAAGATGCCATTTTAAATCAACATAAAACATAATTATTTAATTTTTTACTTTTTGGGAATATTGTAACTTCTTTCCGACTCTTAAAATATATGTAAATATTACAACAAAAACTATTTTAGAAATGAAAAAAATTCTAAGAAAGTTTTTAACAAGGCTGAAGCAAATTGTTTTGATCTGGAAACTTTTATGTCAAAATGAAATATTCATACATTAGAAGAAACATATTATTCTCCATATTTTCTCTATAAGCATATGCATTCATGGATTAAACCAAAATTCAAGAATAGCTTGTAGGTCTGTATAAAATTCCATATTTTTAACTGAATTTGGTGTTTGACAAAAAAGATTACCTTTATCTCTATTTCAGCGTAGTGATAAAACTATATCTAAAAGTACTTCTAAATTAAATATAAATCTAGTATGACAGCAACTGCTTGTAGCACATTTCAGCAGAGGAAATCTTAGAGAGATTCTTTTGGTTCTGTATATAATATCTAAAAATATGACTCACTTGTACTGTGACTGGTCATTTCCTCCAACATCTGGAGATCTTAACTTCTGCAGTAAGATTCTTATAATACTAATGAAAAGTATAAAATTCACCTGCAAAGAAAACAAATATAACGGTGATTTCCGAGCTCTCCATTCAATACGGAGCACAAAGACATGCTTATCACGTCAGACAAATCAACTCAGCAGTGGGTGTTGTGTACCTCCTGCCCGAACACATCAGGCTCTACACGGTCAAACCTACTGACTGTGTTCTGCCTCACTAGGTTCGTTATGTCCAGCGCACCTCTGCGTGGCCAACAGTTCTAGTCTGGCTGGCAAAAGCCTTTGAAAGCCTCAGTTGTCAGAAATGGCCTCTTTCCAAAATCTCCACTGAAGACAGGTTTCCTAGCAGGATGGGACATTTGATGTGATTCGGTGCAATCGCTAAGATCCAGCAGCAATTCAAGACTGCCAATGAGCACTTTGATCTAACTTCTGCTTCCAGGTCTAGGACTTCTTTGGAGAAGCACTGCTTTCTGGCACGTGAAGTCTCAGATGCCTAGCAGACAGCTGTTTAAATTGAACATCCAGAGAACAGACTTTCATCTTTCTGTAAACATCAGGTGTTTAATTTCGCTTTTATCTTTCAGCATAGAATTGGGCTTGTTCAGCCTGGAGAAGAGAAGGCTCCAGGGAGACCTTATTGCAGCCTTCCAGTACCTGAAGGGGCTACAAAGAAGCTCGAGGGGTATTTTTACAAGGGCCTGTAGTGACACTGCAAGGGGTAACAAGCTTCAGGAAGAAACTCTTCCCAGAGAGGGTGGTGAGGCACTGGAACAGGTTGCCCAGAGAAGCTGTGGATGCCCCATCCCTGAAGTGTCCAAGGCTCGGATGGATGAGGCTTTGCACAACCTGGTCTAGTGGAGGGTGTGGACCATGTGGACTCTTGAAATCTTGTGTAATATACCTTAATTTTTCCAACTAAAATGCTAAAATAAAGCAAGTCTATCTGAAATGTATTAATCTGCACTGTGACTGTTTTCAGAAACGGACATATAACCATAGTATATTATGCCCAAAGTTAATTACACAATGATCACAGTGAACAGGAATTTTATTGTGTTGCTCCAGTAATTCTAATGAGTTCCACACAAGAAAAGCCTCATGAAACATTCTCAAATGGTATTCTTTTGCAAATATTTAATGTTAAATATATATTTCAGTAGGCTACCAATTAAAGAAAGATATACACAGCCATAGTTTTTTATGGCTGCAATAATATCAGATTCTCAAATGCAGGGCTATCTATTTACATGCAAAATCAAATCTGCCATTGACTGAAAAGTATAATTAGATTTTTCCTTCCTCCAGGCTCATGAACAGGAGAGATGTTAGAGAAAGAACAACATACAAATAAAAGAAACTGCTCATTTAATAGGAGGCAGATAAATTTTGAAGGCAACAAATTTTAATGGCCTTGGAATCTGCTTAACATTTCCCCTACAGCACAATTTCTTTTCATTAAAACCGAATTCTTGCCTATCTGTAACTAGCAGTAAAGAATAATGGCTATATGCACTGCACAGTGCTGAACTGATCTATAATTCATGCTTCAGAGTTTACTTACTATAATAGAAATTAAAATTGGTATTCGTATAACCCACCAGGGACCACCATGCTCATTTGTATCCCAGCAACTGTTAAGAAAAAAAAAGAGGGGAAAATGATGTTGACATTAATATCATCTGGCAAGCAAGACCTATGAGGAGAAGTATTTATTATATACAAATCAAAGACACACTAAAATAATGCCTTTTCTAGTCTAGAATTTGGCATTTAATCTTCTTCTGCTTTTAATTGCATTTCTCTGGTTTTAATATGCATATGCAAATCAGTTAAAACATCAGGCACACTAGACTGTACCATTAGACATCACGGAGGATGCTGGCCTTCAGGGAAACCAAGCTTAGATTCACTTTGTGTAAGGACAGTTTTCCAATAGGCACTTCGCACCAGCCCCTGGGTAGTAGGAAGATGTAAAGCAACTGACAGATACAATTGAAATGACATAATTCCTTGTGTGATAGTTAAGTTCTAGATGGCAGGAAATGTTTTAGGAAAATGTGAGACTGAACCTCAAAATTTGTCTGAAAAACTAAAAACCTGAAAATTTAATTTTTACTCTGGACCCAGCACCTTTGGTCCAAATACTCTGAGAATAAGTACCCTGAAAGATTAATCTTAAGCAAGGGCAATACCCTTCAGAGTTCCTCTGTGATCATAATGACAAAGGAAAAAGGAGTTACCCTTCCATTTACATGTTGGAGGTCTTGCAAAGAAAGCTTAGGAATTATGTGGGACATGATTTTTCAGTTTAATTACAGAATCAATTGAAAAAATATTAGTCATGTTGAAAAAAAGAGGCATGAAAACTGTTTTTCCCACTAGCTAGGAATCTTTCCCATTCCTTGGGGCCAGCAGCAGCAGCCAGTCTGATCTTCCTCTAAAATTATTATCTCAGCTCCCCTTCCCATGCCAGGAGCCAGGCCTAGCTCTAGTTAGTCATAGTTTTACCTGACTACGTGCATCCTACATACCTTTACAGCACATAGCTTCACTTCTGGGAATGTAATTTAGATATGCCTAAAGTTACCTAAATTCCAATCTTCTGAGTTGCTAATCAGCAAATTAGAATGCCCAGCATCTTACTGCACTGCAACACAGCACTGAATCCAAGGACACCACTGCTATGTTAAGTATTATTTTGACTTCTTAAGCAGATAGCTCTAAATGTGGGTCTCAAAGGGCTACTGTCAGTCATAACCTATTTCTGCTCTCTCCTGCCCTAGAGTTTTTCAAATAAACAGCAAGGATAAACAGCATGCTGAAGAGCCCCTAAACACTTGCCTGCCTACTGCCATATCTGAAATTTCAGTTCTGTGGAAGCTGGAAGCTTTGGAAGCTTGTTTCTCTCTCCCACACACTTACCCAGTGTCTTCTAAAATGATCCGTGTCACTGTCCACGTAATAATGAATACAGTAGGAATTCCTGAAAAATCCCAAAGGGTTTTAGAGGGTGATCACAAAAATATAAGTACAGAAAAAAAGTTTTGCCTACTAGTAACCAATTATTCCCAAATACACAGCCTATAGTAAACAGTTTAGTGAATGGGGGGAGAAGCCCATCTGATGAGCTACATGATGTAAGCAATGTATTACAAAGACTGCAGGGAAGTGGGTTCGTTTCTTATAAAAATTCAGCCATAATGACTAATACACAAGGAACAGGCCTTTCTTAGGTTTTTTTCAAGCTACCAGAGTGACCTACAGGGACCTAGATACAAGGTATGCATTCCCAATGCATATCCAAGGACTACAATATAAAGTCAAAGTGCAAATAATTTCATAAAGAACCATTCCCACACACTAGTTTATTCCCATTTCCCAGCAATACCTATATGTTTTATGACCACCTATTACTGGAAGCTTTAAACTGCTACATACAAGTATCACTGCACTTTCTGGAAATGAAAAAAGTGAAAAGTGAAATGAAAAGTGCCTCTGGGCACTGTGCAGATTGGCACGGGTCAGAACCATGCCAAGGAGGAAGCAGGCAGTTAACGCTTCAGCAGTTTTGTGCCTGCTCACTCCCACTTAACAGTGGCTGCAACGTAGGTTGGAGCTGAATGGAGGGTCATCCAACAGAACCAGCATGACCACCCTGATATGGAACATTGAACCTGACTAATAGAGAAAAAAGAGTATTATTGGAAGATGTTTAAATTCTTACCCCATCCGATCAGCAGGTAGATTGTGAAGTGTCTGTTGGGGGAGAATATTAGCACAAGGAGGATGTGGAGGTAAAGTCCTTCAACTAAGAGCCAGTAAAAGTTTGCCATAACACCATACTGAAAAAACACCAAAATAGCCTTGCAGCCCACCTGAAATATAAGAATAGAGATCAAAATTCTTGTAGGAAAGATGCTGTTATTATTCTGTTATTAATATATCCCACAGGTCTTAACTATCCATGTAATACTATCAACCCAGGTCAAGTAGAATTTTTTTTCTTCAGTCAAGCAAATTGAGACATTGTAAATATTACTGTATACATAAAATTAATTAAAAAAAATATTTAGATGCCTCTCATAGCAAATTTGCTCAGAAATTCTGAAAACTTCATAGCATAAATATTGTAAAAGGTGGTGGTTATCAATAAATGCACACATTTGCAAAAGTTAGTTAATGAATGCTATTAGATTAAATCATCATCTACAAGGTGGCTAATAAATATATTAAAACCCCAGCTGGCTTCCTAACATAGTAAAAATTAACAAAGAAATTGCTTTATGAATTTTTCAAGGATTCTGTGCAACTTAGTGACAAATATAACTTTACATGATGAGTACTCTAAACAGACTTAAAAGAAAAAGTTGACTGGACTTTTAAAAAATATGTTTTCCCTTTAGAAAATACTTTAGTGTTTCTTAATTAACAAAAAACATAAGCATGTATCATCAAATGAAGTCCCAATATACTTATAGTCTGTGTGCTGCTCTCCAGAATTAATTTTCAGAAGTCTATGCTGCTGATGTTCCACAGTGCTGGCTGCTGCTACTTTGGTACTTCCCAGC